TCTTTATTACTACTTAATCTTAATGTAACTATTTCTTTTTCTTGATTAATTTGACCATAATATTTATAAATATAAACCATAATTGTTGTTGCACCAGTAAGACTTTGTTGATGATTAGCAAAATATTTTGCTCGAATTGTATATGTACCTTTAACTGCTTTTCGAATCAAATATTCTTCTGGACCATATCCTTCTGTAAAATCACGACTAATTGTACCACCAATCATTGTATTCTTATGACCATAATAACATTCTTCACCAGTTGGTTCAATCACATGTAAATCAACATCGGTATCATCTGTATCCCAAACCATAACTATTCTTAAATCCACAGGTAAATGACGAATTAAACGATTATCAATAGATCTCGATATTTGTTGTTGTTGTTGAAAAGAAAACAAAAAATGATTATATTCATGTAATGTTGTTAGTTCTATCTCACTAAAACGATTATCCCATTCACCTAAAATAACTTTTTTGAATAGATCTGATATTTTTTCAAGATGATTCGTATTAGTACTAGATTCTTCTAATAATAATGCTAAATCTCGAAATGATTGTGGTTCATTCGATCGTAATCGAAGAATATGTCGAAAGATACTTTCAGCTAAATCAAAAAGACCAAGTTCCAAAAGTTTATATCCAACAGTTCGATATAGTTGTGGTGATTCAAGTTCTAATTCTAATACATTTGTTAATATTCTTAAACCATAATATTCATATTCATTAGATTTTGTTGAATTAATTTTTGAAGTGGTTCGAGTATGTTGAGAATTAAATGTATCAATTAATGATGATTGTGACAAAGAAGAAGTTTGAGTTTGAGAGAGAAAATATGAAGCCATATCAAAATAAAATGATGGTGATTTTGAAGAAGATTGACGCTCGTTTAAATAAATTTGATAAGCTTTTTCAGAATTTGTAGTGGATTTAATTTTAGTCATGTAAGGAGTTTGTGGATCCCAATTTTGTAGAATAATTGTTTGATTATTATTATTTGTGGACAAAGCAACATTACTAAATATTTCAAATGGACTCAAATACTTGTGCATTGGTGGCAAAGATCTTTCTACAGCCATTGATGGCTTCCCGCGCCTGGAATTGGTTTGTAGTTGACTTGATCTCTCTACAGCCATTGATGGTGCCATATGGCTGGAATTGCTTAGACGTCGATTTGATGTGGACCTCTGATATTCGCCATACATGTCCGAAAGTGTTATATTCATTAGACGTTCCTCATCTTCATTTGAAGGGCTCATTATTGAGTAGTACTTGTGTGATGAATATATGTTTTCTTCCATGTCCATCATGGCCTGTCTATCAACACTTCCAAATCGTTCTTTTGTTTGTGGTAAGTATTGACGATATTCTCCTATTTGACCATCAGTTTGTGTTTTGAACGCTTTCATACGATCATTTTCAGAGATGATTTTATCATACCAATGACAACGTTGATTCCATAACTTTAACACTGCTGAAATTTTCTCTTGTTTCGTTTTGTTTTCTTTTTGACTTTTGTTTTTTTGATATTTCATATAATCATCATATAATTTAGTTCTTGATCGATGTGGACATATTTTATGTTCAATATGTTGCTGTAAAGTTTCAAATACAATAATTGATGTTAAATCACTAACAATCGAATATTTCATACCAATATCTAATATTCGTTGTTTATTTTTTTCAGGAAACGCTGTTAATTCAGATAACATTTGTTTTGCATAGAGTCGACGTAATAAACCAAAGTTTTCTGATGATCGATTCGCTTGTGGTATATCAAATTCTTGACGATGTATAACACCTGAAATAGTTAAATTAACTGCAATTCTAGCTGAACTTGAAGAAGATAGTTTTCCAACAAGTATAAATTGTTTTGTATTTGGTGTTAATGTTATTGAATGACTTGGATAAATATTATGTATATTTCCATTATTAACAATATCTATATTATTATATCGTGATTGTAAACTTTCAATCCATTCAATAATATCATTTCCATTGTTCTCTTGAATGATTTTATCACGTGAAATATATCCACCACCACTTAGAGTTGTTAAATAATTGATTAATGGATAATTCATTGCATCTTGGACAACATTTGCATTAAAGATCCAGATCGGTTTCATCAAAAAATTATTGAATAGAACAGAATCATCATTTCCAATTGTTGATAAACAATCACTAAATAAAAAATAATGTGTCACATTAGGAAACATAGTTGGAATAGTAGACAGTTGAAATATATTTGTTGCACCATCATAAGATAGATTTGTTAAAATACGATGAATTTGTGACCAAGCATTAGGATCAGATAATTGGAATATATTTGCATCTTCTAATACATTTCGAAAGATAATTAATGTTAAATTGATATTAATACCATTTGATTTCCAAATATTTAACATTTTCTCAAGAATATTTATTTCATAATTACGATTTTCAATATTAAATCGACTTAAACTTCCATCCCATAATATACAAATTGATATTGTTTGTCGAGAATTAAACATTTTATTATTTTTCTTTGATATTAATGGTGGAACATAACATAAAGCAAAATATGCTTTATCAGGATTATCAATATCAACTTCTACACCACAAAGTGATTGTGATGCACTGAAATTTTTTAGCTTATATGAAATATATTGTTCATCTTGTTGTGGTTTCACATTGGTGAGATGAAGTTCAGAATAATATTTACCATTTGTTTGGATAAACTGTTGATTAGAACTCCATTTGGAGATAAATGTTGGTTTTGAGTTATTTGAAATCTCTGAACAAATTAATTTAATATCTAAACTATGAAGAGTTGTTGTAAAATAAATTGGAATATTGAAGATAAAACTATCATTATCGATCTGTGCTTGATCTTGATAAATAACACGAACAATTCGTGTTCCACCAGCTTCGATTGGATATACTCTTGTACGAAATATATTTCCTGTAACCATCTCAACAAAACCAGGATCAACTCCTTTTCGAACTTCTTTTTCAAATGTAACACGAGCTTTTTCTTTTTCAACAACAACACCATCAACAATTCGACCATCAACATCAAGACCTAACAAAAAAGACAAGAACATGAATATCAATTAATGTCTCTTATTTATTCAGAATTTGTGCTTACCAAATCCACATATTGTAGCTGTTTGTGGTAATGTAAATTCCAGTGCACCTTCTAATCGTCGATTGTGTGTATTTGTAAATGTCATTGTTGTTGCTACTTGATGAAGGAGTGGAAAAGTTGCATTTACTTGTTGTTCAACATATAAATTAATCATCTGCAATGGAGTAGATGCACCATCACCAAATTTTGTATTTCCTCCAAAATACATTGGAAATGACATTCGTGTATTATTCTTTTGATAGTATGAGGCCATGTCGAATACTATAATTTGTATAAATCGTCAGACTAATGTTTATCTGAAAATATCAAAATTATTACTCTGAACAGTAAAAGATGAATAAATGTGTTTTCTTCTCTATAAAAACATATATACTGCCTTGATCCTAACAAAATATATCTTGATTTACAGTATTACCAATAAATTAATAATAATAATGCCTTTATGTTTACTGAAAAAGAAGCAAAGTTTAGATAAAATAATACATATTTACTTTCGAATGGATCAGTGACTTGATCAACCATATAAATTACCTCTGATTTATATAGTATCAAAAATGAATACGTGTGCTTCTTCCGAGTCGAATATATTTATTAACGCAAAAGAGATAAAAATTATAGATATTTTGTTCCGAGTAAAGAAGAAAAAAACGCAAAGGAACTGAGTCATATTATCGATGGTTTGTTTTTCATTGTATATAAAATCACGATTCACTCAAGCATAATAAAAAACCATTCGGAGTCGTTTTTGTATTAACCAAGTTTAGTTTATTGACTTATAATATGTTACTGTAATCTATAAACAATATTTAAACTGATGAGTCAACTTACATAAATCTATTGTTGATTAACAAAAGTATTCTATTTCATAAATTGTTTTATTGAAATGTATTTTTTGGTTATTTTCTTTATTAACTATAGTGAATAATTATCAATAAAAGTATTTTTATTAATACAAATATATGTATTTTAGATGCATAAAACGGGATCAAAAGTAATAGATTTTTAATAATAAATTATTTTGCAAGTAAAGTTTTATAAATAACGACCATTGTTTATTTCAATAAGGATATGTCTCTTCTAGAATCCTATCGTTTACTGGCGAAAGAGCAAGTGAAGTAGCTGTGAGGGTGAATGTGGATGATGGTATAGTTCTAATTTCTCATCTACGCCCACACTTGATTATTTAACAAAAAAATAAATAAAAACAAACAAGTGTCGAATTGATCGATGAATGTCGTCTCGAAAGACCGAAAGTAATGCTTCTGTCTCATAACTTCAGAGTTGTGCTAGCCATCGATCATGGCTCGTCTCTTTTCATTAGATTACAAATTACAGTATTGAGATTGTGCAATTCAAAAATATAAAAAATATAGGATTCAAACTATCGTATGGTTGTAGACGAGTAACTGTTACTAATTAAACATGAGTATAGTAGCAATACTTATTCTATCTCCAATTGTTTATCAATGAAACAGTTATTCATACAATTAATTTTATTTAATATTAATATAAAGGAGTAGATGTGAGCGAAAGAGTCTTCAATACCCTCACCGATATCTGTTCTAGATTGCCTTTCTTTCTCTTCATTTCCAAGCAAGTTAAGAATTTTCAAATTTATTGTATCGCACTTTTGCGAACCAGAATGATACACATTCTTTAGTAATTCATGAAAAGAAAACGATGAAAAAACAATTATTTGGTCAATAAAGAAAAAAAATTGTTTTGTTCTAATGTTCCCATATGAATTTACTACAATCACATCCCGATGGTTGATTACATTTGCAGAAGAAACTAAACAGACATTTTACTCGACACATTTGCCATTTGGTACATTGTTCGGTGCATTCGACGATTCCACCAAGATCTCGGCGGGCATTATCATTGCTGTCATCACGTTCAATACGATCATCAATATCATCGCTATCAGCACGTTCAACACGATCATCAAGATCCTCGTCGAATCGAATAGCAGAACACTGGATAGTGTGTGCCATTACAAGGCTCACAAGTAAAACGACAAGAAAATATCGCATAATAAAAATAATACTGAAAATATATGAATTACCAGATCAAACAGTTGTATTTATACTACTGTGAACTATGCAATAAATTTATTTACCTCTTCTAGTCGTATAATTATCTCATAAACGAATGACTGTTGTTTTCTTCACATACTTGATATAAATATAAAATTTGTCTGTGATATTTAATCAGTTAGAATTTGTTGAATTTAAATGAGACACTTGACAACAAAATGTGAAGATGAATGTATTTATTGACTCTTTTTATTCTGATGTATAAAACTATATAATATATATTCGACTGTTCTTTATCGGTATTAAGTTAGATGTTGCAAGTGAAAACTTACAAAAATCCATCAAATTTATTTCGCATGAAGATACTTTATGAACTTAGTTTGTCTCATGAATTGAGATAACTCTTTAAGAAAATGACACTAACAAGTTTAAGTATCGAAATTATCGTGTATTACATAATTTTGTATAAGGAATGTATAATAATTTATTCAGGATCTGCAAATCATACATTATAGGATAAAGGTCGAGCAATACCGCCTCTCAGAGGATTCTTTATATATATATGTAAATGAATTATCAATACTCGATGTGTACATACTATTACATGAATAACAAGTACGCACACCTCTCGAATATCCTTGAATCTCAATGTTGCAACAGAAAAGTTTAAGATACAAACTGTGTTAAACTTGTCCCCTCCACTTTATTATTATATAGAATCGTCTGATGATGTTGAGAAAAACGCTTCTAAATCAAATTGAATCTTGCTTTCTGTATAGACTCGCTCGATATTCTTCAGTGAATTACATGTCTTCAGTTGACAACTAATTTTAGCCATGTTGTGCATTTGTGTTCGAGTGTTCAGTGAAAACATCACTTGTCGTGATAATAAATTAGTATCATCAGAATGATGAAGACATGATGCACAGATTCGTTGACTGGATGAAGATTGTTTATCGACAGAAATTTGACATCGTTGACAAGTACTGGGATCTGTTCGAGGACAATCTTCTGTCGAATCCATGCGCTCATAGCATGCAGCAGATTGTGGAATAAATGGAGACACGATTTGTAACAGCGAAGTTAATTTTTCAGCAAAATTCTCTGAAATAACCAGTGAATGAAGGATGCGTTTTAACGTCAGTTCATCATTGCATTTATCCGTTAGACAAACAAAACTTAGCATGTAACTCACTTGAGGAATTTGATGTCGAGATGCAATTTTCATTTCGGCAATAGCTGTAATGATTTTATCTACAGTATCATCAGTAGATGGAATGTCTATACTATCGACTAAAATACTAGATGTATTGGTATTTCGATTCCACATAACCGTTATCCAACATATGGCCGCATTGTTTAATTGACATTGAGAAAAGGATGGAACTGTAGCAGCTGTTACTGTATAATTCAGAGTAAAATCATTCTCACATACATAACACAATGATGATGAGACTAAAGTCGGTGACGCGAACAATACCGGTAGAACAACCAAGCCATGTAACATGATTGTGTAATCTATGTAGAAAAAAGTGTGAAACTGAATATATGAAATGATAAAGACAATCGTTGTTCATTGGATTTTTATGAAATGTGAAGAACGAAGAAATAATTCTTTGATTGCGGTAGAGAAGGATGTGGGTGAGGATGATAGAGAATAAGAGACACCCACACCCACCCACACCCGTCCAAGTTTAATGACAAGCAAAGTTTCGACATGAAAGCAAATAGTATAAGACTTCTCATGTAAAAAACACACAAAAAATCCGATTTTACTCGTTCTTTTTTGTGATTATAAATCGATTAAAATAATGCTATTTTGATTCTATTTGAAAAAAATTTTAATTCATTCTCAATCGCAAAAAAAGTCCACAAAAATTGGATTTTTTTCGTGTTTTTTTTACACGGGTCTTAGACATTTAGATTTGAAATTATGTTTAGTTAGTTCTTCAATGATATGTATATATATATTAATTCATTGGATAGTTTGAAGAGAATGAAAAAAAAGAAAAAAAAAATGTTGAAACTAATGCTTTAAAACACTTTTGAATAAAATCAACATTTCATCACTTAAAAGTTGACAACATTGAAAAATTTTGTTTTTCTCATTCTGATCTACACGAAAAAGAATAAATTATAAAGTATTTGTCGTGCCACGCACACATTTCTTGTGTTACATTAACCAACATACTTTCATAGATTTTCATGGCAACAAACGTAGGTTCTACTTCAACAGATCTAAACAGTAATCGTGAATGCGTAACATTCGTATGGCTTGATCTTCGACGAGAATCGGCAGGATTATTTGTCAATGCACTTCGTTCTATCAATGATTGTGTACGAACTTATACGGATATATCCGTTTGTTTAGATTCAATTCAAAGTTCTCATGAAACGATTTTTTTCATTTCATCAACGAGTAATACAGAATTTTTATCTACAATACATCAATGCATAAATGTTGAAGCAATGTTTGTACTTGATCCTAATATGAATACCACTCGAGGAGATTTGCCGAAATTATTCGGTATTTTTAATCAACAGGAGGAACTTCTTCGAGTTCTCAAAGAAACATTCGATACATTCGAACAAACTCAACTTGAACGATTTACTTTCGAAACCGATCAAAGCTTTCTATGGTGGCAACTATGGAAAGAAGTTGTAAGTTTTTTTTACCGGAAATTTATTATGATTCTTTGTTTTTTTTCCTTCTCAGATAACAAGTAAAAAATCAGTACCAAATGGTAAAAATGATTTGGTTGAACAAGCTCGAAATTATTATCAAGGTAATTCAAAAGGATTGAGAGCAGTCGATGAATTTGATCGATCATATCGGCCGAATGACACACTTCAATGGTGTTTTCGTTCATCCTTTCCATCAAATCATTTGCGACATGCACTTTTCTCACCTAAAATTGAATCAATCTCACCTTATTATTTTCTTATCAATGATGCGATTCGTTCCATACAACAACATTCGAAACATTCTGGTCATGGACAACTTTTTCGCGGAATGAAATTATCAAATGAATTAGTAGATTTATTCGAAACACATACAGGTCAATTAGTTTGTGCCAATGGATTTTTTCTATGTAGCAAAGCAAGAAATGTTGAATTACAACTAGCAGCATTACCAGGTTACCGAACAGATCTTATGTCGGTATTATTTAAAATTGATTTTGATGCATCAGCTCATTTTGCTGAAGTTCAGATGGAAAATGGTTCAATGGCGACTATTTTCGATGTAGCTACAAGTTTTCGAGTGGTATGTGTCAGCCGTAGTGCGATGACGGTCATCAAATTGAAAACTACTTCTGATGATGGAAAAAAATTTGTACAAGAATATAGAGAAAAAAATAAGGGAAAGACAGTACAGGTATTATTCGATGAATTAACAAAACCACCAACACCACCGACGCCACCACCACCACCACCGCCCAAAGTTGAAATTAAGTACGTATTTTAATCGTTTAGAAAATATAAGAAGATCTTTAATTTAGAAAAGAACCAGAACGAAATAACAGTCCACAAATACCTGAAGAAGAGTTGGAAGCAAATAAATATTTGAAAGAGGGAAATATTGATGAAGCTATTAAGGCTTATCGACGAATTCGACCAATGACTGTAAGGATTCTTAAAATCATCGGTAAGCTATCAGTCGATTATAAGCAAGATTATCATACTGGAATCGAATGTTATCGACAAGCATTTCAAATGCAACAAAAGGTTATATTTATTCATACAATAAACATGAAATAGATTAAAATAGTTTCTTTTCAGGCAGGTGCAAGCGGTACCGATACTCTTGTAGAACTCGGAGTTTTGCACTATGAACGTGGTCACTTTGATTTAGCAATGAAGTGCTATACTCGTGCCTTATCATTGCACGAATCGACTCAACCACACGATGTGAACTCAATGATGATCTGTCTAATTGGTATTGCAAATACTCATCGAAGTCGAAAAGAACTGAATGAAGCTCTCGATTATGCACAACGAGCACGGGCATTATACGAAAAATCTGGTACATCGGAAAGTGAAAGTATTGTGGCGCAAAATTTAGTCTTATTAACAAATATTCATCATGAACTTGGGAATAATGATCAAGCATTGAAAGTGGGTACAAAAGCTTTGACACTTTCTGAATTTACTCATCTATCAAATCAATCGCAAACTGTTGAGTTATTGAATACATTGGGCTTGGTAGAAATGAAATTAGGTGATTTGTCTCAAGCACGTTATTATTTTGAACGTGCATTGAAGATGTATTCACAAATGAAGCCACCAAGACAGTCAGAAAAAGCTGAAGTGGAGAAAAATCTTCAACGTATACTGGAAATGCAACAAAATACCGGCAAAATTTAAAATTATACTTGAATTGAACATGATTTTTCATATTTTCGTTTTATTATCCATGAAAGAAAAAGAATCAGTTTGAAGTTTTATATTTCATTTTATTGCAGTTTGAATAAATGAGAAGGAATTACAATAATTAATATGACACAAGTCTAACGTGAGGATAATTATGGGTGTGAGTGTGGGTGAACCGAGGTGTGGACATTAGGTCTATGTTCTATTCGCAGATAAATACTCACGCCCACATCTAAACCCATCCTATCGAAGGCAGTTGGATGACAAAAACATCGAGTAGATGTCGTCTTTTATACTATTATTGTTCGTTAGAAATTTCTTCAATTATGGCATTTGCATTCTTTCTTTTGTACATCGAGTGATGATGATGAATAACGTACCATTCACGTCAGACAACATGTGTATGCTTAGCCAATAAAGAAAAATATTCTCGTAAGTGTGTGTGTGCTTGTTATTCATGTGTGCTCGCATCCACATCCTAGAGCAAGCATGTAACATGTTTTCTATGCTTATCTATTATTAAATGTTTAATAAAAATCGATATTATCTCTTATTCCAACTCTCATTCCCTAAATAAACTTTACTATCGATAATATTAGAAATATATTTTTTTGGTTTCAAAAGGGAAAGAATTCTTCTGTTAAATGTTATCAGTCGCAGTGCTTCATTGTGTTGTGGCTTATACGCACACAAAAGCTTTATCTTTCTTTATAGTTTCATTTGATGAAGAAAAATGAAAACGTCTGACACAATAATAGGTAAGAATCGTTGTGTTACCTGTGATAAAGAAAAGGCAACATTGAGATGTGGTGGATGTTTACAAGAATTTTGTTTCAATCATTTAACGGATCATCGACAAGAACTTAGAAAACAATTAGATGATATTATAGCTACTCGTGATGTCTTTCAACAAACTCTTAATGAACAAAGGAATGATCTAGAAAAACATGCACTGATAGGAAAAATTAATGAATGGGAACGTGTGTCGATTAAAACAATTCAACAAACAGCTGAAGAAGAAAGACAAAAAGTATACAAGTATGCTAGTGTACACAGGCGACAAATTAAATTTGATCCGAACAAGTTGAGTGAGCAATTGGGACAAAGTCGTGAAGAGAATGATATTGATGATACAAATATTCGCGATTGGAATGAAGAATTAAATAGATTAGCGAAACAACTCATTAAACCATTGTGTATTAAGCTCGAATTAGATACTACACCACTTATTAACGCTATTTCTGTTAATGTGACACCGAGTAAGTTTATTTAACTCGCCACTATTAAGTTTCATTGTATCTCCACAAAGTTCCTCAGTTTTATCAAAATTTCTTGAGTTAATAATTAAGATTTATTTAAAACCAGGGCATAAATTATTACCAAATCTTCTATGCTCGATCACTCTCATGCTGTGACATAGTACAGAAATCTTACATACAAACCATAGAAACAAAATATATTTCAGATAAAGTGTCAATGGAAATGAGTATTGAACGTGATATCGTACCATTTGTAACAAATAATGGTAGCGAAAATTATTTCTTTCTTGGTTTTTTTAATGATATATTTATTTTAGAACCACCAGCACCATCTTCAAACTGGAATAGCAATCGTGGTAGTAGTTTTGGTTCACGAAGTAGCCGAGGCAGAAGCAGTGGTGGTTTTGGCTCACGAAATAATGATAGTGGAGGTAGTGGTTTTAGTGGTAACTATTCTCAGTTTGATATCTACAGTTGAAACGTAAGATTTTCTACTCAGGTCGAGGTGGACGTGGTGGATCTGGTGTTGGTGGAGGAGGATTTGGTTCAAATAATAATGTTGATTCTCACAGTAAGTATAATTCAGATATCTAAAAAATATAATATTTTATAAAAGAAATTAATCAAACTTTAGTCTTCATTTTTTTCTTTATTTCAAAGGATGCTATAAATGTAACCAAACTGGTCATATGAGTCGAGAATGCCAGGAACCACGCAAAGAAAATCGTAGTGATCATAGTTGCTTCAGTTCAAATGGAAGTCGTGGTGGATTCGATTCAGATGATAGTGATGATCATAATATTAATTTCATACCAGAATCGAATGATGGACCTGCATCTAGGTCTGTCAACTTTGGAAATTCAAGAAATCAAAATAACAGTGACTCAAAGCCATCATTTGGTAATTGGCGAAAGTCTGCAACAAGTAATAGTAATGATTCAGAAGATGTCAAGAATAGCTCAACATTCGGTAAATCAGAAAGTCGTGGTGGCTTTAATAGAAGAGGAGGATTTCGAGGTAAACAATATTTTATTTTAAATAGAAACAAAAGTTATTTATTATAGGCGGTCGAGGCGGTGGTGGTGGTGGATTTAGTTTAGGTGATCGTGGTGGCCGTGGCGGTGATAGTGGTGGTGGTAATAGTGGAAGTAAGTGTTGATTTTACTTTAATTGCATTGCTTAATATTATCTTTTTTTTCATTCAGAATGTTACAATTGGTATGTTTGTCTTGAAAATATATTTTCATCTTTGTTGATTGACTTTTTCTAAATAGTGATCAATTCGGTCATCAATCTCGTGATTGTCCCGAAGAAAGAAAACCTCGTGGTATTATTGTTTTTTGTTTTCTTTAATCCTCATTTTTGTTTCTATAATATTATTTAGAAGGTGGCAGTTCTAGCTTCTTTAGTGCCGGTGGTGGTGGTGATGGTGCTGGTCGAAGAAGTGATCGAGTAAGTTCTTATTCAGTATAAAATCCTCAAAAGATATATATCCATTTAATGAGGTATCTGATGATATTTTCGATCAAGGTAAGTCTATATATATATACAAGTTAGAATAATAAATACAGTAATTTCTATTAGCGAGTGGTCGTGCTAATGGTCAACCTACGGAACGTTATATTCCACCGCCTGCACCAACATCAGAAGATGATATTTTTGGTGAAGCAGTATCAAAAGGTGAAAATTTTGGAAAATATCATCGAACACAAATTCAATGTACACCTGAGGGTAACTAATCATTTATTTTTTTATCTTCAATAAATAATAATTATTATTATTTTATTTCTATAAGGTAGCACTAATGAAAATATAATACAAATAATTGAAGAAGTTCGACTAGCAGAGAAAAAGGATCGTCTTTTTCAATTATTGAAACAAAATCTCAGTATAATAAATAAAATTATTAAAATACATGTTTTTTTTATTTTTGACATTTTCAGAAGATGAACGTTGTTTAATATTTGTTGAAACAAAACGACACGCTCAGTATATAGCAGCATTACTTTCACAAAAGGAATTAATAAGTACAACAATGCATGGTGATCTAATACAGAGACAACGTACTGAAGCTATACAACAGTTTACTAATGGCAAATGTCCTATTCTTGTGGCGACATCAGTTGCTGCTCGCCGTTTAGATTTTCCTTTGATTAGTTATGTTGTTAATTATGATTTACCAAATTCAATTGATCTTTATACTCATCAAATTGGTCATACTGATCGTTTAGGCAAATCTATATCATTTTTTGATCCAGAACGTGATTCAGATCGAACACTTGCTCCTGAACTTATATTAAAATTAACTGAAGTATGAAAGTTTTTAAATTTTAAAACAGTTTTATCTTGATAATTTTCTTAGGCTGGACAAGAAGTACCCGATTTTCTTCGACAATATTCTGATACTTCAAATAGTGGATTTGGTCATGATGGTTATAGTGAACGAAATACTAATGTAAATTATAAATATAATTTTTATAACTATAAAATTTTTCTTTTAGGTGGGATATGGAGCGACTGGATTTGGTAGTAGAAACCTTACTGTTGCTGATACAGAAGAGTGGGATTAAGAAAAAAAATACGTTTCTATATAAATATTATATAAAGCTTTTGTGATTTGAATATTCCAGTATACTGATCAAACAATAAAGGACGAGATTTTTTTTATTTATTAACTTACAATATAGAAAAGATGAAAATATTCTATATTTGAAGATTTTTTTTGTAAAGCAAGTGAAGAGTATATCCGTTTGTTTTTCTAATCAAGAGTTCGAGAAAATATTGGATAGTTTATAAGCATTGCTGTATCAAAAGTTTGAATATTGGCGTCGATGTAAACATAAATGTAGCTGAAGAACTTGGAATCATCCCACACTCACAAAACCTTTCAACATAATCAAGCTAGTAGAGAGAAGAGATCTACAAAACAAAGCAACTATTTAGTTTGATACGCTTAGGTGGAAAAAATAAATCTTACTGGTAATCCGATGACGTAAGATCTATACTCTCTAATCTTACGGAATGATACAAATATCTTATTGGAAGATATCATATTTTTTTTCTATAAGTTGCTTGTAAAAATCTTCATAATAAAATACAAATATCTGCATCTAGTAAGTATAAGATTAAACTTCTAAGCAGAACAATCTTTATTCATGAGTATAATGAAATATCGACAAGAGCATATTCTTTTTTATTCATTTTATTAAAAAAAACTCAATGAATGAAGAATAAGTATTTTTGATTCTCATTTAATAATTAACTATGGGAGTATGATTTGAAATGAAACAACCGTCGAATACTAATGAATTGGATACAATACACTCCTTACAAAAAACATCGCTTGTAATTGATTATTTTTCTAAATTAACAATTTATAATAAAACATTCTAGTATATGTGTTCTGTTTCTATTAAATATACTTTGAATTTCCTTTGATAAATCATGCTTTTTATTGAATTTTATATTAAATATTTTTAACTCACATCTGTCATCATTTTGTTCATAAGTGATTCTAAAGAGAAAAAAGGGAAAGCAACATATTCTTTTTTACTTGTATATTGTGTTTCATAAGAATTTTTTTGAATCAAAAGAATCACGCATTGGTAAAATGACTATGTTTGCTGTAATTGAGAGATATTTTTTATCAATAAGTTCTTTGTCATCATTTTCTGCATACTTCAATTCGAAACTTTTTGAAACAAACAAGTTTTTGGAAAGCATCATCAATCAATAAATTATCTAATAATCGTCATATTTCGAAAGCAGATTTTTGATAGAGTTTTTAGTCAATTAACTGAGAAAAAAATCGTGTTTTCTTTAGCACACATAAGACAACTAAGTGATAATCACTTGAGAAATAAAAAGATCTAATGAAATTTGCCATTTGGAAATGATTGGATACTGATACGCTAACTCAAAACTTTTTTTCTTATTTTGTCCTGATTAGATACTGAGAAATATGTAGCAAAGCTATCAAAAACCATATGTCATTTTATATGAATATATTTTAAAAGTATATGTAGATAAATTTTATTGAAAGATAGAGGATATTCTTATGAAGAGAAAAATAAAATTATCTGAACATGTTTAAAACACTAGAATATACTTTTGTATTGCTTTAACAGATATGAATAAACTTGTATCGAAGCTGAATGCGATTAGGACCTAGGAATTATTGAAAATAATGATTTCTACTTGTTCTTTATGATAATACTGGGCATCAGATCGATTATATTATCCATTTCAGTTTGATATTTATACTGAATAATACTAAACACTGGTAAAAAAATATAGAACTAATGCATTTCCTTGTTTTTGTGTGTGACTTTTATGCTTATCATACCCATCAAATATTTGCATAATTTTCTTCTTACTTTTACTGAAAAATCTGCATTTCATAAATAATTTTACACAGTTATCTAACAGTTGTTGAGCAAGATTAAAAACTTTGAGATATCATTTTTATTTATTTTCGAATTCCCATAGATCGTCAATTACACAAATATTCTACGAATATCAGGCTCAAGTAAAAATATCGACTATGACGAAAAACAGAGCAGAAGCTTATCTTGTGATATATTAAGAGAATTAATACGAAATAATTTATGTTTTTTTTACTTGTTTTAGTCTCAACCAGCGAATGATGGCAACGCTCAAACATCCACTACTCTATTACGAACCATGTATGCATAGTATAAACTGTAGTGAATACAAAAATGAATCTTTTTTATTCAAGATATGAGCGATTTCAAAAGAGAAAATTGATGTGGATCATAATTTCTATTGTTGTTGTTATGCTGATCATAATTATTCCAACAACTATCGTATTAACGAAAGAAAAAGCTGTTAACAAATCGACAACAACAGAAAAAGTAGAACTGACAACAGAACCCAGTACAACACCAAAAGGTGTAGTTTTTAAAAAATCAAGATTTTACTTCTTTATGTGTATATTCTAGTCGAATAACGAAGCATAAAGAGATAATATATATAGTTTTATCTTCGATAAAAACAAAGAATACGTCATAAAAGAGATGTAAAAGACTTGAGTCTCGTTGAATAGTAGACTATTTATATTTTAACAAAAGAATTGCTTAAGTAATTTTTTCAAAACCAAAGTATTTATTCTTTTAAAGCACATTTTCTATTCATCATGTATCCTGTCGTTTATATGCGACAGATTGAGCTCTTACCCACTTGCTCCTTCATGATAAAAATATAAAAAAAATAAATAAATATGTTTTTAATTAATGAGAATAGTTATTAATTATAACTATTTGAGCTAATGAAATAACACAAAACATTATTATTGACATTTTATATAGATTCCAATAAATGAGATCAATATAGTCTTCTGAAGAGAGACTCATTTGCTTAGCCATCTTATAGAAAATTACACATACCCCGGCTGAAAATAATGGCAACGTAAATGGATGATTTCGCGTTGCAGTAATACATCGTTTTATAATCGCTTCAAGCCGTTTAAGATGGCGTTATCGGTGGTCACAATAATCGTCCTGGGTATGACACATGATTTATGGGAAAATCTATTTATTATCGTATTAATTATGACAATAAAAAACTTAACTATATTTCTGAATGACAATTAACAGTAGGCATTTCATAAATTTTATTATATGTAAAGGTTATTATTTTCTCGGAAGCTTTGATAATTTGTTACAGTTGTTACAATAGAAACATAGTTATAAATAAATATTATCCAAGAAGAGACGCGAAAATCCAGATGAGTGTATTTACAGCCAGATATATTTTCATCGATAGAGAAGTGGTGAATTATGAAGAAAATTCAATTAAATGTTCTTGTTTCCATATAGAACTGACAACGTCATCAACAACAGCAACGATAACAACAACAACAATAACGACGACAACCATCACAACAACGACAACTACAACAACAACGACAACGACCACAACTACAACAACAGTGAATCCATGTAAGTAAAGAGATGTTCTAATCAGCTATAATATAGTACTCTCAAAATAATTATTTTTTTTTAAATTTTACAAAAAAAACTGAAATTCTAATATGTACTGCAACAGATTTTAGGAATATCTTTTATATTTGTTTTGTATTCATTTCATATCATATCGATTTTGAAAGAATAAATTTAGAAGGACTCCTATATTAACCCTTTGGTTGTAGTATTTTTTATAATCTTAATTTTTTTTCTTCTGTTATGCGCATATGACGTAAGGAAAGAACGAGAAAGAAATGGAAAATATCTGAGCATATGCACATCGAAGTACACTTGTAGAACGCAAGAAGATACAAATGGAATGACGTCACTGTATACTTATATATATAGTGACTGAACTAGTATCGTATACAGACAAAATAATATCATATAAGATTACAAAGATATTATTCTCTGTATCTACTATTATAACCATCATTATTAAAAGAAAGGAAACAAAAGCTTAGACAGAGGAGCAGATGAATATATCAACAATAGGATGATATTAATATCGATATAATGATGCTAAGACTATGATAAAAAAATATTGAATAATTAATTATTATTTTTATGTCTGTCTATTAATAGGTATATCTGGCGATTTACATTGGAATACGACTGGTATTACTGTGCTTAGTGCAGCAACAGCACCAACAGGAACATTACGAATAGCAACATCTGGTGTATTTATTGACTCGAATGATACTTTATATGCTGTAGATGAGAACAGTAATTATGTTGTATGGCAACTATTGAAAGATGATGTAAATGCAACAGTGGTAGCTGGAACTTTAGGATCGAATAGTACTCAACTTAGTTATCCTAATGATGTTTATGTTGATAAATCTGGAAATATATATGTAACTGATGCCTACAATCATCGAATACAGAAATTTAATAGTGGATCAAACATTGGAACAATTGTTGCTGGCGTAACTAGATCACCTGGATCTGCATTAAATCAATTATATATTCCACGATATTTTACTTTCGATTCAACGGAAACATATATGTATATTGCTGACTACAATTGCCATCAAATTATGGGTTATCCAACGAATTCAACTGAGGATACTAATGGCGTTCTGATGGCAGGTGGAACGGGACAATATAATCAAAACACATCGTTGTACGGACCATGGGGTATTCATTATTTACCATCTATAAGTACTGACATATTTATAACAAATAATGGTGCACATTCAGTCATACGTTGGACTCCTGGTACTTCAGCAGACAGTTTCGTTGCTGGTGTACCAGGTACATCAGGTTCTGATTCAACTCACTTAAATTCACCGGTGGGAATAAAAATTGATAGTTTTATGAATATGTATGTGGTTGATAGTGGCAACAACAGGATTCAGTTGTTTTGTGCCAATAGTAATGTTGGTGTTACAATTGTTGGTGATGTTTCTGGGGGTAGTAGTGCAACACAATTAAATGGTCCACGAGGTATTGCATTTGATTCAGCAATGAATATGTATGTTGGTGATACAAACAATAAACGTGTGCAAAAATTTATGAAACTCTAAAATATTACAGGTAAACTTTATATTCATCAGATCTTCTTTTTAAATTATTGATCATGATATTTTATTTCATAGATATGTTGTTTCATACAAAAAAGAACATTTTAACAAATACTGTACATTACAATTGATTTATACATATATCGCTTTTTATCGATTCACTCTTTTTTTGTAAATATCTTGTTTATTTCAATACTTTTCTTTTTTTGCTTATTCAATAAATCATATGCTGATCTTCTTATTTACATGAAATTGTATATCATATTCGAATAGAACTCAACTTATAGAAAAATATTCAGTTCAATTAGAAGATTTTATAACACCGAAGATAAGTAGTACTTTCTAATTTTTGATCCATGGTATTATCATTATCTTATCGATACTTTTATGTCATACTATCGTTTTTATTTTTTTTAGTGATAATGTTGTATGTTATCTTTCCTTTCATACATCAAGTAAAAAAATATCGATTTTTTTCTCTCGATTAGTTTGACGACAATGATGTCAACAGAACCATGAATGACGGTGAAAAAATATCTTTACTAAACGCTCTTTTGCCAAGGAGCGAATGAGAAGAAAATAGAACAGAAAAAAAATGTAACAGTGCGTCATAGACAAATGTGTTAAAAAAAAACTCTGACCGTCAATCAACCATCTTGAAGATGCGGGTTTATATGTTATCTCCAGCACATCCATACTCTCAATTTACAATCGACTTATATACATCATTTTGATAATAACAGTTTTATTAGATTTCAATAGATTTATTATATTGAGAAGAAATAGCGAAAAAAAATGATTTCATCATATTTAAATAAGTCATAATGTATTTTAGGAATTTTTCCAATGATTCATTCTCGAATCACCTTCACTGTATGTTGATGATCTCAAGACATGGCGTGATGTTGTCAGAGCAACATCATCGATACTAGCGCAACTGGTAGTCCGAGGACTGTGAGGAACATGTGCAGCTGGAATATCCTGATGAATCGGTTCAACATGTTCATTTAAATAATTGAAGAAAATTGCCGGATCAATAACACGTAGAAAAGGTGTCCTATCCGATCCATCCAAAATATGTGTCTCGTCAATATCGAGACCCCACTCTTTCAAAGCACAAAGCACTCGTTCACTACTTGTATCAGTATTTGCAATGATTAAAAATGTACGTATTCGCCATCCGTTTTTACCTCCCAGTGCTCGACGTACATTTTGCAGTTTGAGAGCAAAAGCTTGCATTGGACCTTTTGTCAATAAAACGGATCCCGTTTCTTGCTCAAAATGTTCAGTAATTTTTGACTCAGGCTCTTCCGAATAGAGTACGCCATCTCCATTAAAGACAATACGAACTTGATCTTTTGCCCATGATGCAACATTAGAACGTCTTGATGTAGCACTTGAAATAATGATGGAATTGTCAGAAGGTCTTCATAAGAAATGAACAATATAATAGAAATGTAATGTAATTTTAATAAAGTTCATCAACTTACACAACAGCAGGTTGAACAGGTACTAACTCAGGTGTCATATTGTATATCAAGCCAGCAGCTATACCCTCGAATGAATCTGAAGTGATACCATTCAGTACTTTTCTTACTTGTTCTTCTTCTGTAGATAAGAAGAGATCACATTTCCAAGCTGGAAGATAGTTAGTGACATCCGTACCATCCGTGAACGACATTTTTGTAATAGCAAGATTGTAATTATTGATAGATTCTCTAATGCGTTGTCCAGACTCTGTATCGTTGCGTGAAACAAGAACAATCTCGACTACAGGTTGATCAACGACTTTGTTCAACTCTAATAAGGATCGAACTAATGAAAATCCAACACCAGGTTTGAGAGGAATACCAATGTGCTCACGCTGATGTTTTATGTATGCTTCGAGCCCATCACGTTTCCATATTGTATGTGACTCATTGCAATCGAAGAGTGCAGTTGATGAAATACACACAACTAACTTAGAAGATGATTCCATCTTGATATTTATTTCAATTTTCTAAAACTAAGAGAAAATCTATTTATATATCATTATTACAATGTTTAGACTTATATTTTGTTCTAAATATAGTATTCAAAGTAATACAAAGGAAAATATTGATAAAATAACGTATGAGAAATGAATAAGAATCTATGTATTATCAAAGTATCGATTTATGTATAGATGATTTTTTTAAAAACGCGCAAATATGAAAATAAAACTTATTGAAAGATAAAATCAGTACCAGAAATAATTTGATTAGTGACACATATTTCTATTTTTTTCTCTTTGGACGTTTTATTTTATAAAAGAAAATATTATTTTACTGAGTCAGTTACAAACTATTGAAAAGTAGGAAAAAGTACTAATAATGAGAAAAAAGAATACGTCTTCTATTGATTGTAATACTCATTCTTGCCTATTCTCTTGGTGCAAGAATATACTTTTACCAAATAAAAAAGAATCAACGCAATCGGCTGCTTCTTGGAAAGAAAAATAAATATAATATTTTTCATTTCAATCACTTTTTCACATACACAAAAGAGAAACGTCCAACATACTGATGTATTTGTGTTTTTTCGTCATTGTTTCAGTGAGAAAAAGTGCAGGTGTTCGGTGGCGTAAAATACGCAATCAATAGTATAAATCGATATTTACATGAGCGAAATGTGACTTTCGTGCAGGAATGTCATATTTAATTATTGATATCTTGTTAATTTCATATTGTAAAATATTACCTTTCATTTTATATAACGTTTCAATCGTTGATCCTGCCTTCTACTGCGAGTTTATTGATTAAAAAATAAAGTACGCTTGCATATATGTATATTGATATTTTTCTTTCTTTGCTTTTACTTTGTTATTATTTTGATTTTAATAGTAACTCAACAAGACAGCAATA